GAGTACAGGCACGTGCCACCACGCCTGGCTAATTTTTTTTATTTTTAGTACAGACAGGCTCTCACTCTTGCTCAGGCTGGTTTCCAGCTCCTGACCTCAAGTGATCCTCCTGCCTCAGTCTCCCAGAATGCTAGGATTACAGGCATGAGCCACCGCACCCCAGCCTCTCAGAAATATTTAATAGGGACTTATATGAACAGAAGCAATGTTTCAGACAAGTAGATCCCTGAGTGGATCCTGCACCTACTCTGCAGAAAAGTATCCTTTATGTAGCAAGCTTTTAGAGTAAAGACATGTGCAGCTGGTCATGTCTCAGACTTACCTTGCCAAAACTCATGACCACTGGAGAGGTTAGATAAGCATCTTTATGAAGGGTTATCTATGCTACAGGCATTGTTTAAAGACCTTGCTGCAGAACACCTTGGTATGCAGGTCAAACATCCAACACCATGGCAGCTTTGCTTCAAGATGGCGTCACTCTTGCCATGCAACAATAGGCTGTTATCCTACAAAGCTTTACAACATTAAGATTACCTATGCTATTGTTTCTTTTTTAAAAAAAATTTATTTGGGTATGTTGCTTTCTTTTTTGACAAATCTGAGTAGCTAATAGATCTAATGCTTATAAAAGTTTTATGCATTCACTAAACAACTATTCATTGAGCAACCTCTATGCACCTGGGAATACAAAGACTCTAAAAGATAGTCTCTGTCTTCAGGTGGCATAAAGTCTATTGTAGGAAATAGGAAAATATGGTACAGGGGACAGTCAGGGCAGGCACAGGGTGTATTAAAGCCCACAGGGGGCACACCTAACCCAGGTGGAGGTGAGGTCAGGGATTGCTCCCCAGAGGAGGTCGCTGACAGTTCCAGACCATAGCTGTGGTCCCCTGTGATAGCAGTAGGCCACTTCAGTTCACTGACGTGGGGGACAAGCCCCATTTTATTATTGCTAGATGGTGCTGAGAATGAGTTAAGGTTAGAGATAATCAAACTAATAAAAAAACACTAGGATTTTTTAAGAACTTGACAGGATCAATAAATATTAAAAATCAATTAAATAGACAAATTTGTAGGTGTCTTTTTTTTTTTTTTTTATGAAAGCAAAAAAGAACCAGGTTGTCCCGTGCCTTCAGGCTAATGTTCAGGGTCTTTAGCATGACTGTGGAGAGTTTTGACAATCTGGTCCATGCTCCCCTCCCTCTCCCTACGTTCTGCCCATTCCTCCCTGTGACAGTACACAGACCTTCTTTTCCCCAGAGGACAATGTGCACTGCCAAGATGACTGGATTGGAAGGCTTCAATTTCCAGCTACCCCACTGTTCCTGTGCCACAAGCCCTGATGTATTGAAGAGCTAGAGCCAATTTTCTCACAGAATGTTGTACATTTTGGATTTGTCTGATTCTTTCCTCATCATGCTATTTTATTTGTTGCTTTAGTCGCTGTATTTCTAGAAAACTGGAAATTATATTTAAAGCCTTAACAGCTTCAGGTGAAACATTTTTGGCAAGAATATTTCCTAGGTGATTATATAGCCGTCACAGGAGGCACAGGTTGTTCCACCGTTATTGATGCTAAGTTTAATCACATGTTTAAGGTGGTGACAACCAGATTTATTTATACTGGGTAAAGGTACGTTTTCTCTTCAACAATTAGCAAAGTGTTTTGTGGGGTAATATTTTGGCAACTTATAAATATCTTGTTTCCCGTTAGACTTTCATGTAATGGTTTTAGGATATATTGATGATGTAGTAACTTTAAATCAGTTAGTATGGTGGGAAAATGGTAATGTTCTAATTCTTTCATGTCTTTTACATTTATTATCAGACAGTCTTCTGGGAAAACCAGCTTTCTCTTAATACCACTCCTCCTAAAAAGGCATAAGAAATGCTTAGTTCTTTCCCTTTAATTACCAATTCTCAGAGTAAGGATACTTAGGAGTTGTGTAATTGTCACTTCCAATGGGGGCCCATTAGTTTTTCTTTCTCATTTTTTGGTTATCATTATGGACTTCAGGATTTTATGTAGTCAGAGTGTTATAATAATTACAGTTGTTATTCTTTCTTGATGTCAAGTTGCTCAAAGAAAGCTGTTTCAAGCTAGTACCTGTGTTTTGGATAGTCCCCATTTGTCTTTGCTTTTTGGGACAATAAGATGTCCAAGGTTCACCTTATACTTCCCCTACCCCAGTCATTTCTCAAAGAAGCTCTGTGAAAAATCTCTTTTTCAGGACTAGGGTAATTCAAATGTTCCATCACATGAGAAGTGTTGGGTAAGACTCTATATTCATAATACCGGTGGTCGACAATAGGTGGCATTTGGGCTGATAACTCTTCTTAGGGAATGAAACGTTCATATTTCTCTTGGTATATATTACAGGAGAAAAAAAAAATCTTTCCCCTACCCTCTTACTTCAGTAGCTGAGGCGTGTGGATTAAACTGACAAAAGACAGGTTAATAGGAGAAAAGTTTTATTATGCATACACATAGGGGTTTTACAAGAAAGAAGTTAAAAGCCCAAAGAAGCAGTTAGATCTGGGGGCTTATATACCATTTTAACAAAAGGTGGTAATGTGCAAGAGGCTAGAAAAAAGAAAAAGGGGGTTGGGCTTCCCCTGGAGGGTAAATTGTGGGAAAGCTACTAGGAAAGGAAAGGTAAATAAGGGAGGGTTGCTTAGTAAGGTGTGTAATGCAGGTAAGACTCCTTTCTTCTTCCTGGTATGGGACAGTTGGTACACCATTAAAAATGGAAATTTACGGCTGGGCGCGGTGGCTCACACCTACAATCTTAGCACTCTGGGAGGCTGAGGTGGGCGGATCGTTTGAGCTCAGGAGTTCGAGACCAACCTGAGCAAGAGCGAGACCCCCGTCTCTACTAAAAATAGAAAGAAATTGGCCAAACAACTACAAATAGAAAAAATTAGCCGGGCATGGTGGCGCATGCCTGTAGTCCCAGCTACCAGGGATGCTGAGGCAGGAGGATCACTTGAGCCCAGGAGTTTGAGGTTGCTGTGAGCTAGGTTGACGCCATGGCACTCTAGCCCAGGCAAGAGAGTGAGACTCTGTCTCAAAAAAAAATTAAAAAAAAAAAATTACATCACCTTTATAATGAGAAATTTATGCCCTGCTTTTAGGCAGAATAGGGAGAGGGTGGAGAGTTCTTCCTGAGCCTGCAGTTTCTCAATTGCCTCCAGCTCAAAAGTAATCCTTACGCTAAAGTCTAATATTTGGGGTGGCATGGTCTCATACTCTTCAATTTTAACGTGGATTACTTTGTCAATGGAAGAGAAGCCAAACTCTGTAAAATAATTTAAAAAGGTTTATTCTGAACCAAATTTGAGGACCATGGAGCCACGCCTAAGAAGCCTTGAGCAAGTGACCTCACTGTGGTTGGGTTACAGTTTGGTTTTATATTAATACATTTCAGCAAGACAGGAATTACAGGTAAAGTCATAAATCAATACATGGAAGGCATACATTGGTTTGGCCTGAAAAGGCAGGACGTTTGGAAGTGGGAGGTTTAAAAATCACAGGTGGGTTTAGGGATTCCTTAGTTGACAATTGGCTGAAAGAGTAAGGCTTTGTCTAAAACACAAGGAGTCAGCTGAAAAAAATGCTTGAGTTAAGATAAGGGTCTTCTATCTTTCATGTGATGCTAAATCAGAATCAGCTTGGGAAGTAAACCACATTATATAAGGTTAAAAAAACCTGTTCAGTGAGATTTTATCATTTGTAGGCGTGACTCACCAGGCCCCCATAGAAAGGAATTTGGAGAAAAGAAAAAGATCAGAGTTTAGTCCTTAACTTTTTTGCAGCTGTTATTTTATTGCTTATTGCAGTTACTTGTTTCTTTCTTTGCTATTAGATGATCAGCTCCTTAAGAAAAAGACCTGTCTTACCCGCACAAACTCAGCATAGAACTCAGGCATTGAATATTAGGGGACCTGATCATACCTCTCTACAAGCCCACAAATGCTGCGGGCATGGAAACCAGACATTCAACTTCTTAGAATTATTTTAAAATCAGAGTAACTAGCTTGATGACTTCTAGTGTATGGTCTTTATGCCAACTTTATTGTGATTGTGTAGGGATCTTCTCTTCCACCTCCATTCTAAGATGCATTCAAGGTAAGTTAAGTGTTATTATTTGCAAAAGGGACTAGATTATTTTATGTATGCGCCTAATTTTTTTGTCCTCCCCGGTTTCTTTGCACTGAAAACAAAAAACAGGCAAAGAAACAAATCCCAGTAGCATTCTATTCCAAGGTGAAAGTTTTTTTTTAAGCCATTACATTTTTTTTTTAAACCAAATTTACTATTGCTTTTTCTTCCATTATACTCACATCATTACCCTATTCTGCAAACACCGGTAGCTGGTTTCCACTTAATGTCTAGGCATAAAACCATTGTTAAAAATTCGAGACTTGCCACAATTTGCATTTTTTTAAAAGCCAGGTAACTATTTCATGATACAGATGTGCAAGGTCTAGTTGTTATACATCTTCCTCTTCCCAAGTATTTTGCAATCAGAGCCCTGTGTTTTCAAAGCTCTTTGCAAAACTAAACACATGGGTTCTCAGGAGACACCGGGCCAGGGAATACTTTCAGCCCGGTCGCAGTCTCGCCCCTCAAAGCGTGGGACGGGAAAAGCCGCACCACAGGAAATAACTGAGGGCTGCCAAGGGCTGTCGGGGGCCGCCAGGCTCGGGAGGGCGGGCGGAGATCCAGCCCAGCGCCGCAGGAGGGGCCCGAGCTCTCCGCCGCGCCGCGCTCGCCGGCCTCGCCTTCCCCGCCCTCCCGGCGCAGCCGCGTCGCTCGCCCGAATCCGGGTACCGCCGGCGCATCGGGTCGGCCCCTTCCGGCTCGTTCCGGGGACCGGCGCGGCATGCAGCTGCCGCGGCTACTGCGGCTCGGGGGCCTCCGTGCCTCCGCAGGCCTGGCCGCCCCGGCCCAGCCCCCAGCCCGGGGCCGCAGCGCTGGGCCGTAGCCACCGCCGCCGCCGCCGCCGCCGCCAGCCCAGACGCGCGGCTGGCTCGCGCCACCGCCATGGAGTGCCCCGGAGCGGGTGAGACCGGGCTGCCGAGCGGGCCGTGGGGGCGACGGGAGCCGCGGGGGCTTGGGCGCCGCTCTGCGCTCGGCCTCGGGGAGCGCTCGGCCCCGCGCCGGCCCCACTGCGAGTCTCCCTCTCCCACCACCAGGACTCGGTGTAGCACGGGGCAGCCCAGTTTGCAACCCCGGTGTGCTCAGGGCTGCGGCGACGGGGCGTCGTAATGCACGCTTTGTGGGCACCACAGAAGGAGAGGGTGTGAGCCCACCCCTAAGTTTCACTTTTGTTTCTCCCTTTCTCGTCCTGTGACCCTTAGCGCAGAGTTCGTGCCAGCACACCTCCTCTGACGGCGTTGGTGTGGTAATCAAAACCCAGAACAAAAGCGATTTTATCTTATATCACAAATGTTAAATACCTGAACCACCGTGCTGTCCCATTTAGGATTTTACGCTAGGTTTCGAAATGACCGCTTTTAAAAGTGGCGCCAAATCTAAACTAGCGCCCGGAATGAATTGCCAGTTTGGGTCAGCATTTGCTGCTTGCTGAACTTTATGGGTAGAGCGAGTTATGGGTTGGACTTTTGATGAAAGGGGCTAAAAACCAATTATTGAAGAGGTGCTCTGCTGCAAGATTTTGACGGCATAAACATATATAAAGGTCTAAAAAGCATAAAACGTTAAAATGTGTTACATAAATAGCCATTACCTAGAGTGGATATGTTTACAATTGTTATGCTAAGGGGTTGATTAAGACCTTGTGGACGGATGTCTACGGCATGAGTTTTTGAGATACATTTATAAAACGCACAGGAATGGAGATTGTTAAGGAGAGGAGTCACACCCCAGTTCCTTGTTTAAGTGTTGGGGCCTTGCAGTTGAGAATGCTGTTAGCATCTGTAACTTTTCCTTACATTAACAAAGTTTAAGTTGTTTGTGGAGGTTACAGCTTCCTTTCATTACTTTTCAGATATTACTCACCTGTTTTGCCCATCTCCCCCTAATTGGATTGTACTTTTGTTCCCTTTTTATGATGAGGAAACCAAAGCTTGAGGGTCAAGTGAGTTGTTGAGTATTGCACTGCTCTCAACATTTATCCAGATGTGAGATGCTACTATTTTTAGCAGCAAAGGCAGGAGAAGAATGGATGGCATTGGCTCTGTTTGTTCTTGGAGAACAAACTTTTTATCTAGTAGAAAGATTAGAGAGGAGTCTTGCTTTTTTTTGCTGCTTTAATAATTCCTATCTATTAATACAATTTTTTTCAATTATTCTATAACTTAATAGAAGATAGTTTGTATTTCAAGTTCTAAACTCCTGTTGATTTTGACATAACATTGCAGTCAAGTTTAATATGCTTTATTTAACAAGATGGAGGATGTTGAGCAAGTGATATTATGCCTCAGTTTTTATTTTCACATCAAATCGAAATACCTTAGTACCTTCATTCATCCTGTGAAAATGAGAGAATCTATGATGTGCTGAGATTGCCATCAAATATCGAGAATTATTTTTCATGGGCACTCAGTTTTTTGTAGTGTAACCTGATTGATTAATTGATTGAGAGAGGGTCTTGCTTTGTCATTTGTCGCTCAGGCTGGAGTGCAGTGGCATGATCACAGTTCACTGTAACCTTCAACTCTTGAGTTCAAGCCATCCTCCTGCCTCAGCCTCCTGAGTAGCTGGGAGTAGTAGAGGTGTGTGCCGCCACACCCAGCTAATTTTTCTATTTTTTGTGGAGATGGGATCTTGCTGTATTGCCCAAGCTGGTCTTGAACTCCTGAGCTCAAGCGATCCTCCCGCCTCAGCATCCCAAAGTGCTGAGATTACAAGCATGAGCCACTGTGCTTGACCCTTTTGCTTCTTAATAATTGAATTTACAGAAAAACATATTTGCAGCCATGTATTTTTAACTGAATTTCCAGTGTTTAATGTTGGAGAGAAACTACTGAAAAATCTTTATGGAAGAAGAAAATAAAGGTCAGAATTTATGGAAATAAGAACATGTATGTGATATTGTTAAAAATAAACATGAAAAAGACTGACAAAACCTTGTTGGTTTGTTCAGGTAGTACATTTCTTAAGAGAGATTAATTTATATTGAATCAGCTGAGTTGTTTTCATTTAGAGTGTGAGTTTAAAAAAATAAGTTAAATAGTCCTTTTTTTGTGATATATTAAAGGAGAAATTCATTCCAATGAGTGTGAAAATGTGTTAAAGAAAGAGAAAATGTCAGAGGAATTTGAAGCCGATACTATGGATCCTGTGATAGACCTGCCGTTTGCTACTATAGATATTAAAGATGATTGTGGAAGTAAGTACTTTATTAAGTAAAGATGTATTTAGAAGCAATGGATAGTAAATTTATATATATTTTTTCCTTAATTATTTCACTTTAAATACTAATCATGTTCTTGAGTTTTAGTTATTAATTGTTGTCTATATCTATTGATATTGTCAGAACTATCACAGATAATATTAAGACATGTCTCACAAAATTTTGAGCCAGATGATTCTATAATGTATAAGCTACTTCTGAAAATAATGGGCCAGATGATTCCATGGTTTATAACTTCCTTCAGTTATTCTGGAGCCACTGATAATTTCAGCTGTGCCTATTTATCTGACAAATGTTTACTAGCTGTTTGCTGTGCACCAGGGGCTTGGCTAGGCCTTGGGAAGGTCCCTCAGTGGACGAGATAGGCGTTATCACTGCTCTCATGGAGCTCAGCAGGTAGTGTTGAAAACAGTTAAACTTTTAATTCCTTTTATTTTTACTTTTTTAGAGACAGGGTCTTACTCTGTTGCTCAGGCTGGAGTGCAGTGGTACCATGATAGCTTACTACAGTCTTGAACTCCTGGCCTCAAATGATCCTCCCACCTCAGCCTTCTGAGTAGGTAGGACTACAGTCATGTGCCACCATGCCCAGCTAATTAAAAAAATTTTTTTGTAGAGATGGGGGTCTTGATATGTTGCCCAGGCTGGTCTCAAACTCCTGGCCTCATGTGATCCTCCCACCTAGACCTCCCAAAGCCCTGGGATTATAGGCATGAGCCACCAGGCCAGGCCAGTTAAACTTTTAATTAAATGTACATTTATTGGATTGATTCAGTCCTTGAGAACTTTGTTCACAAACTTTAGGGAACCATTGCTTACTTGATTGAAATGCTGCTGGAACTGTATAGATATCTAAATCTACATTTCATGTTGTTGTAAAAACAATACTGTATTTAATATTTGGGGCTACCTTCACTGAAAATGTTACAGATTTGCCTGTTATCCAGGTTGTTCATAGGAAAATAAAGAAAAGCATCAGTGTATTCAGCAAATATTTACTGACTACATGCTCTTGCCATTCATTGTTCTCAGCCTTCCATGAAGCCTGGCTATGATTTGATGTAGTTTTTTCGTGACTGTGGTTCTAACATGGGAGGCTTAAAAAGAAATTATCTACTTTAGTCTCTTCATTCTGAGAAGAGGAAAATGAGACTTAGAGAAGTTACGTAAATTCACTAAATTCACACAGTTGAAAAGATCCAGTTATAGAATCTAATTTCTGATTTGTTAGTCGTTTCTTTGATGAACATTTATAGCCAGGCATTGGGCTAGACATTGGAAATACTGAAACACAAGACAATCTTTACCCTCAAAAAGCTCACAGCTTCACTGGGATACCAGTATGTTAACAATTATAATCTCACAAGATGAATATCATACAGGATGCTCTGGGAGCACATGGATTGGGGATGTATGTGGGGAGGCATCTAACCTGGGTATGGGAGTAGAGGGTGTCCAGGAAGGCTTCCCAGAGGTTTGGCAAAAGTAGAGGCTTGGAGGATGATTATGAACTATATCCAGGACTGTTGAACTTACCTGATCATCAGAATTTTCTGCAGAGCGTTGTAAAAGTACAGATTCCTTTCTTCCACCTTTGCATCAGGCCAGTGAATGATTTTTTTGTTTTGTTTTTTAAACATCCCAGGTGATTCTGTGGCTCAGCTCCAAAACCACACTACTGTCCATCACACTTTCTTCCAGATGCAGTGAACCTGGTTTATATTTTGGGGAAATTGTAAGGAGATAGAGATACTTAAAATGTATAAAGTCCTGGTCTTTTATTAATTAGTCTTTCCCATTCTATAATCCAAGGGAAAAGGAAGCAGGAAGAGGTGTTTGCTCAGCCAGAGCATGTGTTTCCCATCTCTTCCTTCACAGCTGGTCTGGAGAGAAGAACAGCACAGCTGTTTAGGAAGACCTTCATTTGAAGAATTTGCATACCTGTTAAGTAGAAGATACCTTTTGGAACAGAGAGGCAAGAATAGCAGGGATTTAACATTTTCCTCTTAACACATCAACTGCCATGTGAGTTGTATTTAACTCACTCAGGTTTTGAGCCCGGGGCCTCGTGAAGCATATGTAACTCATGTCTCTTCACCTTGGGAACTGTTTTTCAAATTGCATATAACGCATACACAGAAAACAATGAAAAATGACAATTTTTTCGTTAAATTAGAAAGGATTGTTTTGTTTTCGAAGTTTTTATTCTATTTTCCTAATAAAACACTATGGCCCCAAGGAAAAATTTTTTTTCTTAGTGTGGCAGTCAATGTATTAATTTCCTACTTGGTTGAGCAAATAAAGTGAATATGTCTGAAAAATTCTATCACTTCCTTCTGATTTTATTACTGTCTCCAATTCGGCTATAAAATGAAGAATTTTCGTGAATAATCGTGCCCTGTGTGCCCATGGTAGGTACCGTCCCTCCCCAACTTCTTTCCTCTGAGCCTTTTTCCAGTCTTCTGAATCATTCCTGTTGGAGCACTCATAAGTTAGACTGGAACAAGAAATGACAGTGTTTGCTGTTCTCCCTACAGGTACTTCTGACTCATACGTATCTTACACATACCTAATATATATGAACAAACAGCTTCTACCAGAGATGGACAGCAAGATACATCCAGAATCCCAGAGAACAAATAGTATTTCTGTAGCCACTGTATTCTTGTATCTCTACTGGTGAGGAGACCAATGGTCACTAGGGCCAGAAGAGGGAAGGGGATGGGTATGTTGGTGGCCTGCATTCCCTTCGTGCTCTGAAAGGGACAGCTGCTGCTTCAGCAGCTAGGCAGTGGGAAGGGTAGCCAGTCCTTCATATGAATATCTTTTCTTTGTAAGATGTGGTATAATTCTTATCAAAGAAATAATGTTATCCATGTAAGGGGCTCAGGCCAATAATCAAAAGTTTATTTTTAACTGTTAATATATAGTATCATACTGCTTTTTGATAGTTAGGCTTTATGAGTTAGAATTCTTTGTGCGTGAGTCTAGACTCCAAACCACCATGTGCAATATTACTTTTGTGGGCAGATGGATTTCAAATACCACGCTCCAACTTATACATGGCAGTGTGATATAATGGGAGAAAC